AAAGAACATAGCACACATATAGCACAAGTTTAAAAGAAGAGTTTCCATCAGCTTCCCTCAGGAGTAAAAAAAAATCAGTCTTTAAACTTAAAATAAAAAATAATTTGAGATTTAATGTGATTATAATTATCAGTTCTGACTGGTATGGACATATTTATTAGAATTTGTGGCCATATCGCCCACTCTTGTCATCAATATTTACAGTCGTCAGTAAAACCTTTGTTTCATGTTTGTTTTTAAGACTAGTCTGTGTCTGTAATACAGACCCATTACTTTCCCCCTGGGTCAGTGTGACTTGGCAATGCCACTTTGTGATATCGTTTTAGTTGGTCCAGTGTCCCCACTACTTTAATGAGTTAGGTGCTCATCTGTTTGGCTCAGTCTCAAATCTGAATTGCCAGACTTGTTGCCATGGAAGCGTCCCACTGGGATGTGTTCAACACTTTATTTTTGCAGGAAAATCCCATTTCGAACAATAGATTGAAGTGTTCAGTTCACTTCAGCGTATTTAAAGCATTAAATGTGGAGCTGGCTGTTGTTCCACAGTATCATTTACAAAGAGTAAACAATGTCTTTTTACCTTTGGCATCATATCAGGATTAGTATTCCTTATTATCCATCTGATGCATGTATGGGCAATGTGTCATCTTTGGGGACAGGAGAAAACACGTGGATGTTGTGGTGAATCCTCATGGCATCTGTGAGTCTAATTACAAGATGTCTAGATACGATTGGCATTGTCTGCTCTCCCCTTAGACACTGCTGCTCTGCCCCTCAGGAAGATAAGTCTGTGATAAAGATGTCATTTATTTGTAGTGCAATTTTATCGTATCATCAACCAAAGAGTGTTTTTTACCAGAACTATCAGTTGCATTCATTATTCTGAGGTTGTGAAGTGTGTAAAATCATTATATGAAATCTAAAATCCAGACGTAAGGAACAGACTGTTTTCCCATCTCATCCACAGAGAATAGAAGCGTGTCATTCATGTTTGTGATGGTTGGACTTCCATTTTAATATGTAATGCCCCTAATGTAACCCCACCTCTGGCATTTAAAAGTATAATTGTATTTATTTAGTTTCAAAGTGGAAATGATGTACTCACAAATACTTCTTTCAGTGTACACAATGAAGAAAGGAACCTTCTTCGTCTCCGAGCATGGGAACTGAGGAACCAAGAAGCCAGCCAAGTCAAAGAACTCAACCCTGAGAATGTGCCTCTCTTTGGGGAACCATACAAGGTAAAAGGAGCTGATGTTGTAACAGTTCAATACCACAACAGTACTGTGTGCATTTCTACTACCATGTGCAAAGAACAGTTTAATGCTGCCGCAGCCTCATGATTGTAAGTCCAGTACATTAAACATATTTACTGCCCAGTAATATATAACTGCAATAAATATGCTAAAGGTATTAATGGAGAAGCAATGAGAGACTAAATGGAAAATTATGTTAAGACAAAGGTATGGTTTGTTCTCAGAGGTCAGTCAAAGAGTAGGATATTTGCTGCATTCATGCAAATGAATATCTTTCTAGCAAATGGAAAATTAAAAAATTGTATATAATGTAAATTAGCAATAAAGATACATTAACTGTACTAGTTTCCTTCAAATAGACCATGATGAATAATATAAAATATCATTAAAAATAGCAGTGATGCATCGCTGAGTATTGGCCAAATATAGAGTTTTTGTTAAATAAATATTAACTTTAAAGTTAGAATAGATTCAGGAGAGGTGGCTAAATTTCCCCCCAATCTTGAGTTAAGGCTACACTCTTCTTCTAAAGCTGATGAACTCACTATAATCCATATAAAGAGCAGCAAAATCCAGGGCAAAAAAAAGATCAGCGAATCACTAGCTGCAGGTGCACAATAACAATTGAAGGAGTCTCAGATGAGCTTATCAATGTTTTTTGTCAACTTCCCCTTTTCATTCATCTGGACTGGCAGCTGGACAGTCAGACACAATCTGTATAGAGATACGTTAGTAAGAAAATCTACATAACACTGTGAAAGTGAAGGGGAAAACTAAATTATTTTGAAAAATAAGAACATGTTGGTCTCATCCCCAGAACCACACAGTTGTTTGTAGATAACATTTAAAGTTTTGCTTTGAAAACCTTTTCCGGTAATAAGTATCAGTTGAGAATAAAAGAAAGTGCAGCCAGTCATGGAAACAGTTTTCAGAGACTTCAAACACTGACAAAGAAATTCAGAGAAAACATCAATGAGGACTAAAAGCTTGTTGTCACGTGCTTTCTGAAAATGTAGTCTTATCACCAAGGTGTTCCACTGTTTTTTACAACCAAGGATTAAATATGTTGAAGCGTAATTATGTTTAAAAATATAACCTTTTCTGAACTGAGATACCTTGTCCATGTTTACCACAGCTTAATGTTTGTCCCCTCTCACTGTAGACAAACAAAGTGGATGAGCTTTCCAATCGAATCCAGAGGATGCTGGGCAGTTATGAAGATGTGAACAACCCATGTCCCCTCACCATTGAGCCGTCACCCATTCCTAGTTATGCAACTGTCTCGCAGTCAGATCAGGGTCAGACAAACACAGATAAATCAACCAAAGCTGCATTCCACAACCAGGTCCATTACATGCCAACCTCAAACCAGAAATGCCCCTCTAGTAGCAGTTACTCCTCTCAGCCTGTGACGGTGTCCACATCGGTTTCTCCACATGGACATGGACATTCATCCACTGTCCTAAAGAATTCCTCAAACCACAGTCATCCTGGAAACTCAGAGCATCAAAGGAAGAAGAGTGAAGTCTTCTCAGATGTCAGTGTACATGTCAGCCTTCCCCAGGAAATGTCTGAGTCTCAGTCTCCTGATGCTAAGCTGCAAGCGTTCTTACATTCCAGTAACGACAACAACACTGACACGGACACTAAGGATACCTTCGATAGACATCAGCATCAGGAGTTCTCAGATCATCCCCCTGAGTCCGCCAGCACTATGGATGTTACCACACTGAACAATAAGCCGTCCCCTAAAGATGCAGCTCTGACTCAAGCCACCAAGACGAATGCACTACCCTCCCAGACTTTCCCCCCACTCCTGTCGTCCAAGCAGCCCAGCGTAGTCATGACTAAGAAGCCAACAGCCTATGTGCGGCCAATGGATGGTCAGGACCAGGTGATCAGTGAATCTCCTGAGCTGAAACGCTCGCCAGAGCCATATGCACCATTGTTAATCAGCAAGTCCAACCCGGGAAAAATGAAGATACTGCCACAGTTTTTGGAGGTGAGTGTATTTTCCTAGGCCTAATAACTGTGACATGATATCTCATTGTTTTAAATGTAATATTGTTTGAAAAATAGAGCAACAGTTGTTATGATGAGAAAATATGTATGGTAAATATAAAGCTACCATCTATAGTCAGTTAGCTCAGCTTGGCACAGCTTGGAAATAGAGCAAAATGTGTTTATAAATTAGTTTTATAGATATCGGTAGATGGATATATCTTCACAGACCCAGGTTTTTCTGATGCCTCATGTTTCCATTCTTAAAGATGAGCCAAGCTATCCACCTGTTAGCTATAACTGCATGTTTAGTGCACAAACATGAGTGGTATCAAACAAGCCATTGAATGGAATTTTAAAAAATGCGGTATTTTAATAAAATAGCAAGAGGTTCATAATGAAAACCAAAGCCTATCTCTGAGCTAGTGGAGACTCAATGGGCCTGTGTATGACATGACTGATGACATTAAAATTGTGTTTCTTTAAAGGTGGCTAAAACAGTGCTACAACTAGAATGGCAGTCAGTGGAGCGCATACCCCCATGCCAAGGCCATAAATCAATCATGTTGCACCGAATTTCACACACTCAAAGAAATCAGTTCCCTAAATATGCCAGAATTACCCTCAACAAGATCCTTGAATAATTCCTTGTGAAAATGTTGAAAAACTCCCCATGTCAAAGAAAGTGATAAAAATCAATTACAAATTGGGTAAATTGTACACAACCAAAGTTACATTAGCTAGATTTCTATTGTGATTCTTGGATTAAATTTTCTTTATTTTACTTATAATCTGAAAATTCAGTTTAACTGTGGCTTATACTACAACTACGATATTCAGTATAAAGTTAAAACCTGTAGTAAAGTGTGTATGATTTACTGCACTTCATATTATGCGAATGATTCCTGCTTTCTGAAGAAAATGGTGTAGCTTTTGAAGGACTGAACTTACTTGTTCAATAATGCATGTTGTGGTGTACTCCAGATGATTGTGATGTATCTTGAAGGTCTTGTGTGGTTCTTCCAGGGACTGTGGGGGAGGTGGTATGACAAGGATAGTCCTATTGATAACTTCTCTGCACTCATGTATGGGCTTTGAATATACTGTGCATTAGTCTAATAGGGTTTTGTGTCTGCTGATTTCTGGAAAGTCTCTGAAGTCTCCTCGTAGTTGTGATGTTTCTGCTTGACTGTTCAGGCGTTTAAAGAAAAGGGCCTTGGACTCTCTATTGTTTTGGATTATTTGGCTGAACTCCACTTCAACTCTATTCATCTCTTCCCTGTCACACGTAAACACACGCACACACACACAACCCCTTGCACCTGCAGCTCTCCGCACCTCCCCCTTTTACTCCTGCAGCAGTATAGCAGTGTTGAATGTGCTGCTGTTTTCAAGGCTGGGACTAATCCAGTGCAGGATAGCTGGGCAGTGACTCATTCCCCTTTTTGCTCACCAACCCTCCTGAGTTAGGATCCACATCTGGACTCTGTCATACACTTTCACTCTGAGGATGATTTCGGGCAACAATACATAACAGGGAGAAGTAATGTGTTTTACAGTAATGTGTTATTTCCAAAACAGATCAATGTAGCTATCATGGGTCAGAGAGCAGACTTCTTTGTGCAGACAGTGTCGAGAAAATGTCAATCAGGCATTTACTTTACAGTCAGACTGGTGAGACCAGTGGAAACGTGTGATGGTGGTACTGAGCAAATTACCTTTAGACCTTTAAATAGCTTGAAACTGAATTCTTGTATAGGGCACACATCTCTGTTTAACTCCCAGTGTGAACTATTGCCCAACTGCTGACAATTGTTGTTTGTTTTGGCTCAGTCTACACTACCAGAAATCATTTCTTTGCTGCTCTAAAGAAAGTATTTGCCAGTGGTAGTACAGTGCTGCTGTGTTGGAGCGGCGAAGAATACGTGATTTCCAGGAAAAGAACATTGCAGTTTTATCTGGGTGAAACTAATGGTATCAAATCGGTACATTGATTTGCATACTCAAGATTCCTGACCCAGTATTTTTGGTGGTATGGGGGGGGGGCATTTCCAGTATCGTAATATATCTAATCATTAATTGTTCCCAGCAAATATAGTATATATTATCCCCCATGCATTTTTCAGCATGTAGTCTCATGTCTTACTAACTCAGGTGCATAGCAAGGCATAAGTGGTGAGCAACCTGCCATTTATGTTTTTAGTGTGTATACGTGACCTTAGCTGCCTCTGATACCTTCACCCCTAGGATCAGCAGAACAATAAATGAACTTTGTCACCAACTTACATAACTGCTCTGGTGGCCCATTCATTCTGACCTTATCTCAAACATTGTCCATTCAGAAGGAAAAACTGAAAGAGAGGTCTGAAAACAAACTGAAATGCAGGCTGTTGACTCATTCACTCACAGTGTTTATCTGATGTTGGGGTTGGCCTATGTTTGTGCCTGCTTCAGGATATCGCATCACTGTTTGAGTCTGTAGTTAGTAGAGATGTAATGTACGACTGCTTTGTATTGACAGATGTATGTAATGTTATGTTCACTCAGTTCTATTAAGGTTGGTCGATTCTTTTTCTATTCTCTGGACTGTCAGTGCTTTTACGCCTGTAGCACAAAGTGGACATTTTTGATTATTGCCAGATAGAATAAGTTCACAACACCTTACACTTATCTGTGGTTTTGCTATGCAGTATGTACTGTAATTTCCCTACAGATTATATTCAGAGATTATCAGCCTCTTGTAATGCAAGTGAGAAATTTTAGATTGTGAAAGGAATATTTGGACTGTTTGCTTTTTCATGGTGATTTCAGAAACTCATATTTCTTCCGTTCCTTTCTACAGACAAGGACAAATGAAGCTCAGTGTGTTGAGGACATCTTAAGGGTAGGTTCAGCTGTTTTTATTTTTATTTATGACTCACTGTTGTCATAAAACTGTAATTATGGTATCAGCCTATTTATATCTCACAACAAATATAACAGAAATATGCATGATAACTGACTCACTTACTGTGTACGCCACTATTCACACACGTGCACACCTATATTCCTATATCCGGTATTACAGTTTATTTAAAAAGGGAAAAGCTGCTTAAGTGCAATGCCCATTCAACTTTTACTAATGCTTAAATTATCAAAAAAGATTATGAATCCCATTCCAAACAACAAACTGAAATTTACATTATAGCCATGCATGTAAGACAAATCAAAAAACTATATATATATATATATCAGTCACTTGTATAAAAAGGAGAAAAATAGAGTGAATAAAGTATCAATATCATCTTATCTAAAAGGTAGATAAGATGATGTTTGTATAATTTACATAAATTACAAACTGAGTAGATTTGGTTTGTTATTAGACAAAAATCTGAAGTCTCCTTGAAAACCTTAAATTCTATATTACACAAGTGCAATCACAGAAGCTTGATTTTCATTAAAATTTCAGTAAATTATTGTATTATAAGTTTTATTATCAATTAACTCTCTTAGGAGTAAATTCATTTTAACTATGCTTTAAGTTGCTCAGTTGCTGCTGATAAACAAACTTTTCTATAGCTCTCTTACAATTTTCTCTTTTGATGGCTTCACATCTACATACATACTTTTATCTATGAGGTTCTCATTTGGCTCCTTCTGGATCTTCAAGTTCTGTTATGCGCTCCAGACCATCAGAAATACATGTGGGCACTGTGATTGGAGTATTTTTAAAAGTGGGAAGAGATTGCATCTGCATGAATTAATGTTGATTATATATAGACTGGCATCTGTTCTGTAGTTGCTTGTAGGCTGCTAACACATATTACACTCTTTATTCCCCTTAACAGGAAATGACCCACTCATGGCCTCCTCTTCTGACAGCTATACCCACAACAAGCATAGACAAACCCTCCAAATCCCTGTTCTCAGCCAAGGTAAGTTCAAAAAGCTTGAGAGTTATTAAAATCTATCGTGATAACATGCACATTACCAACATTTATGTCAAAGGGGGATATATTAGTTGCACTAACGACAACAAACTTGCCCTGCGTCATCATCTTACCAGTTGAAGGACACAGAAATAAATCCCAATTGTAATGGAACAATGAAAAGTTAGCTAATTGCAGTTTAAAGTAAATGCTAACCAGATCCATTTGGTTATATGTCAAATGCTTTCTTCAGTGCAAACATTTTTGTGTGCTTCTGTCAATCAATTTTTCAGTTTTTTTGGAGGAACACTGATAGTGTCTGGAGGCTTTGGTGCCAGAACCAGTGAGCTGGAAACACTGCAGATGTGCAGTGGTCTTCCTTACAATCCAGAAAATATACGAACCCTTTCCATTGTGCTATCTGGAAATTACTATCTACACAAACAATGGACACATGTACTGTATGGCTAAATATTAGTTAAATTTGCTGTGGTTTCATTTACATATTTGCATTTCTATACCCAGAATCCAAAATTTTAACTTTGACTTAAAGGAAGAGAAATATGAGTTAAAATAACTTCAAAAGAAATCTCGAGTCGTTATTTGAAAGACAGATGAACACATTGTTTCATGGACAACATCATGCACAATTTTGATTTATGACCTTGTGGAGTTTTTTCTCACCAGCCATGGCTCAGAATTTTCCTCAACGCACTACTGCTAAAAATGGTTATAAAGTTAAAAAGCTATTTAGTCTCGTTCAATACAGATTGATAATTAACTAAGTTATTAGTTTAGTGTAAATGTAAATCCAAATGTACAAACTTAAATGAAACAAATCTATGACTTATATTAAATTATTATTAAAGCTTGTTTTTTTTCTGTCCAAACAGGAAGCAGTGCAAGTCTCTTCATGCCCGGGACAAAGTGAGTAATAAGGGAAGTGAGCAAAGTACATGTCAGGCAGATAACAAGGATCAAAATGCAAGAAAATAATTAATCATCAGTCCAACGAACCAAGGATTGACTCTGTTATGTCTGTAGATATTTTTAGTAGACATATTGATCTGTCATCAGGTCACTTTCTCTTCTTAACCTTTAATATTCATGGTATTAAATCACTGTCTCTGTTCTATGTAACTCGCTTCCTCAAAGCAATGTTTCTATGGTAACTTGTACTGCCAGATTGCCCTATTCTGTAAAGTGACCACAAAATGCCAGAGGAGAGAAACAGCCCTACAATTTTATCTCAAATTAACCTCAGCTGAGGGAAAGAGACTGGCGTGTCGCAGAGAGGAGGGGTGAACTCTCTTTAAATCTCTCACCCCTTTCTTTTTAGGACTGTTCTGTTTTTATTGTTTTAATTCATCTCTATTTGTACCTACTTCAGCTCTTTCATTTCTCTCTTGCTCTCCACAAAAAGATGTTTTCATCCCTGGCCGTTTGTTGGTTGGTTTGTTTGGTTGTAAGCAGAATTACACAAAAACATCTGAATGGATTTCCACGACACTTGGTGGAAGGATGGGGTATGGGTCAGGAAAAGAACTATTACATTTTGTTGAACATCTGGTTCAGGGGAGGGAACCAGGATTAGTTTCTTTTCACTTTCTCAAACATTGTGAGAGAGTTTCCCAGGCAATCATAGATCCAAATGAAAAAAAATCCATCATTTTAAGGGAACTGATATGTATGGGTGATATCTATTTGGTGCAACTTGATTAAATGTAAGGTTCTAGTTCAGGACTCGATTAGTTAGCAGCAGGCTAGTCAGCTAAGTATTCGTGGGGGAAAAAAGCTCAGATGCCGTGTGATCCACATTAGTGTTTGGTGACATATCCCATGTTGTCTCCTTTTGTTTGTTTGCTTTTCTCCTCTCCTCCTCCTCTTCCTACAGATCCATCGCAGCTCCACCAGCAGAGCGCCTTATCGTAAGTGACTTGGCTCCTCTATAGGACATTTTGTTTGCTGTCATTTCATAACATGACAGAAAATAAGCAACTGAACTTTCAGTCCCAGCCACAGAAAGTAACTGAATTTAATAGACACTGCTATATACTTGTAGCTTCCATGCAGTGTAATAGAGCTATATAAACAGTCTGTTTTCAACCAGCCTCAAAGCTGCAATCCCACAAATTACACATTCAACAGACATTTCACACAAAGCATATTATTACAGATATTTTCATAAAGACTTTTCCTAAATATAAAACCAACACATCTATTCAATTTGTTTTTTTCTTTACAACTTTTTGCAATGTAAATACAATAACAGTGTTCTCTGATCACTATAAGAAATACTATTTAGGTTTTTGTGTGTGTGTTCTAGCTCATTTGAAGCAGCACATTCCAGCGGCGTAGAGTCAGCCAGCTCTAGTGACTCAGAGAGCAGCTCGAGATCAGAGTCAGACAGTGAAAGCACCACAGCAGAGCCCCCAGTGAGCAGCACAGTTAAAACTGAGGTAATTTGCCTCGTCCCTTTTGTATATCTGCACATCTGGATTAAAGGTTGAACGTGCATTCTCAGAACTATTTCCTTTTGCTCTTTATCATGTGTCTTTTTCTAGCCTGACGCTCCAGCAGTGAGCCATGGTAACTGGCAGTTGGGAAACTGGATCAGGTCCAACCAACAGAACTTGAGCACTGACTGTCAAGGTGGTACCTATGTCTCTGAGAGCCCCTCTCACAAACGGCTGTTGCCCACTCAAAGCTCCAAGCACTCCAGCGTAGAAGTGGTCGACCCCACCAGGGATTGTAAGCCTCAGCTTCCTACTCACCAAAAAGAGCTTGGTGACATCCACGCAAAAGTCCAGCAGCGCAGAGAAAGCCATCAGGACAACCATTACCAGCAGAAGAGCCAAAAAGGCCCTTCCGCTGATTTCAGGAGACTGTCATGCAAGACACACTCCTCAAAGCCAGCAAAGGAGGGCTGCCAGGATCACAGTGAAGCGGCTGTCAGTGTTAAGGGTGAGGACGTTGTAGCCACAAAAAACAAAGACCTGTGTTTCACAGACAGGCCCAAGGTAAAGACGAAAACAAGACACTGCAAGAAAAGCAAGGATGGTGACTCTAAACTTGACACCAGAAGGACTTCTAAACACACGTTTCTTGACAAGCGGAAGGTTGGATCAGAGCCTGAAGTCAAAGTGGTTCTGAGTAGTCTTTGTCCATCTTGTGGTGTGAAAGATCCCAACCCTTGCTCCTGCCCAACACAGACTCCTGCTCAGCCTGAAGAGCCATCTTTCGACCGACCAGTAAAAATCCCCTGTAGCAAACTCAAGGCTGAGCCTATCTGCCAGAAGGGAAACAAGAAACCTCAAAAAACATCCCACAAACACTCAGAGAAGAGAGCTCAAACAGCCAATGGTTCTCAGGACCTCCACAGGCCTCCTAGATCCCTGCTGGTGAGGATCGATCTAAGTCTGCTCTCAAGGATCCCCCAGACATCCGGCAATGACCAGAAGATACCCAGCAATGCAAAGAGATCAGCGCTGGTTGTAGAGCCAGATGGAGGGGGTGGTGATGTTTCTATAACACACAAACACAGCAAAAGCAGCAAAAAAAGCACAACTCCAAATGTGAGAAGTGTCCAGGGCTGAGCATGTGTTTACATAATGAAAGTTCTGTTATTATTATAATGTGTGATTTGTTCTCTTCTAGGTTGAGGGAGACAATAAAAATCTACCCAGGAAGAAAAGGCGGCTGGAAGACAAGAATATCTCTTCAGCTCATGCTTCTATCAAATTGGAGTAGGTCCCCTCGAATAGTAACGTCCTATATATTTCTACCACTGATAACTTTACCTCTTTTTTTTTTTATTGTGTCTTATGTTTTGGTCAGTTCAATCCGATCACACAGGCTCTCTGATCTTTTCCGCAGAAGCTCCAGCAATCCAGTGGAGGATCGGGAGAGAAAGAAGGCCAAGAAGAAACCTGTGTTGACACCACCCAAAGACTCTGCTAAAGACTCCAAGTTACACAAGCGCTGCTCTGCAGAGACTCTGGAGTCCAGTAAGGAAGCTGCAAAGAGCAAGGACTCCTGCAAGCACAAGAAGAAGAGTGAAAAACACACAGAGCGCCTCCACCCTGAAAAGGTAACTGTCAACACACGAGCACCTGCCATAAGTAATAAATTTGTGTATTGTGTTATATTGATTATTTCCACTGAAAAACTTTATTAATTAATCTTTTCACAACCAAATGTCTGCCACTGCAATTCTAGCAAAAGCCTCCAAAGTTCTGCCCCACGGTCTCAACATCTTCACAGTCCAACAAGGAAGTTTTGATCAATAGGCCCTTGCTCAAGTTTGAGGACAGGTGAGATTTACTTTACTCAATAAACATGGGCCCAGGTCTTTCTCTCCTGTCTCTCATCTTTCTCTGAAGGCCTTGAATGTAACTAACTCTCTTCAATATAACCTAACTCATGGGAGAACTATAGAGTCAATATGCAATTTTAAGACAATTGTAATTTTGTCTCTATTAATTTATTATTTTATCTTGATTTTTATCAAATTGGTGCAGCAGTTCTAATTCCTATTAAAATAAACTTAAACTTGTTGCATTGGTCCTCATTTTATTCTGGTTCTTTCTCCTGTAGGCCGTATCCAGTGAAGCAATCCATAAAGGAGGCAAAACGACTGAAGCACAAAGCAGATGCAGAGGTGGGTTTTTGTTTTTGTTCTGAATTTATCTTCTAAAATATAATGTGTAGTGTAAACAGGCCTTCAGATAAATAATAACCCCTGCATTTGTTTGTTGCTCCTTCTTTACAGTCAGATAAGCTCAGTAAAGCTTACAACTACCTGGATGCAGTCATGTACTTTGTTGAGAGTGGCATTGCTATGGAAAAAGATCCACAGATTTCAATGTCTTCCTACACCATGTTTGAAGAGACAGTGGATCTCCTCAAGTAAGAACCCACTGCCATTGTTATCTGTAATTATGAGTTTGAATCTTGCAAAACCGTAGAGGCTCTTCCACCTTCTCGTGGTCACATTCATTAAAATGCTTTTTTAATTTCACCCTAGTTTTAAGCTCTAATATGAAGGTTTTTGCTCCATAACTTTGACTCATGCATTTTTTCCACTCTCACAGGTTTGTCCTGAAACTTAAAAACACAGTGGACCCCTCTGCTCCGCCCTCAGAAAAGGACTTTTTAGTTTTATGGTAAGGGGATGCTAAATGTGCTGTTTCCCCTCAGACCTGAAATTTTAATGAGGTTCCCCTAACATCACAGGTTAAAGCTTTTACTCCTGTTTTTACTCTTCGAGGGCTGCATACATTTACATTCATCATTTCAGAGAGGGTTTGATTGACTGTAGTATGTGGTGCAGTTGAATTATGACAGCAAAATGATGCTGCTCGTCATTGATACATGATGACTTTGGTACATGATGACTTTGGTACATTGGCTTTCCAACATAAAATTTGCTTTATTTCTTAATATTTTTATATCAAATTACCACAAAATGTTGCACATACAGGAAATTACAACATATTTTAAATAAGAAAACAATGAAATTTTTGCCCAGGGGAATTATTCACACTGTTGAATATGTTTTCTTTTTGGACACTTCTGTGTGTAGTGTAGATATTGAAAATATGTTTTGTTTCTAATTTTTCATTATTGAATGACATTTAATTGTTTCTTGTAGTTTGAAGTGCCAGTCTCTCCTGCAGATGGCCATGTTTCGCCACAAACACAAAACTGCACTCAAGTATTCAAAGACCCTGACTGATCACTTCACCGTGAGTATTGACACATGACCACACTTCCTAAATGACAGGATTATTTAAAATACTTGTTATTTAAGTAGTTGTACTGATGTAGAAGAGTAGCACATATACACGTTATCAATACAGGAGTTACAGTTTTATTTTGCTTTGCCATTTATATTTCTCTTTCAGAATTCTGCCCAGGCATCACATGATCCTTCTGTCTGCACAGCAAAGTAAGTCATGTATTTTCCATGTTGCGTTCATTTCAGGGTCACATTACGTAAAAAGTCGACAGCTGCCATCTTTTCTTTAATACTCCCCTCTGTGTCGTACCTCTCCCCCTCTTTTAGAGCTGCAGACACCCCGTCCCCGATGCCTGACATGCCGTCTCCAGCCAGCACATCCACAAGCTCAGGTCCCGGCTCCAACCACAGTGGTAGCGGGTCAATAGTGAGCCCCGTCGGTGGCATGGTGGCGGTTCCCCAGGCTATAGAACAAGTCGCATTCACCTACGTCAAAATCACCTCGTTATTCGTAAGCGCTCATGACCTCTGGGAGCAGGCGGAGGTGCTGGCAAAAAAAGGCAGCGGTAAGGATAAATAGAAAAGAGACAGTGTTAAATGTCATGTCTTACTGTGGTGTGAATACATCTGTTCTTTTTCGTAGAGATATGTTTTATGAAACCTACATGAATATCAAAACAACCCATAAACATTGAGTTTCCACAGCCTTAACTTAAAATAGATGCAGTAAAAATAAATGGATAGATTAAAGACAAAAAGCTAGTTAGTTACTCAGAAACAACAGTTAAATAAAAAAATGTATCCACTGATATTAGAGTAAAGGAGCCCATAATAGTCATCATAGACTGTATTTAAAGATGATGATGCATCTCCAATTCCTCCCACTATCCAGAAATGAAGCCAAAATACCTCCGACGCAAAATCTGCCATTTTGTGCATTTGGAGCCAGAGTGACTGGGGGATGGAACAGTGATATCGACGTCCTGTCGATACTCGTGCTTGACTAATCAGGAGTTAATCTTGATGTCAGTCATGATGTTTCACCATTTTTTATATTACTTATTAAAACCAAACTTACCCAATGACTGAGAACTTGAACAAACATCACCGTGATAAGAACTAATTAAAACAACAGAAACTATTTTTGAGAAATCGATTTGAGGTTTATTTTGACATTTTAGTTTGGTCTGCTGTCCCATCCACTAACATGGTTGAGGTGGCTTTATGACCTACGCTGCTGCCAGCCACCAGGGGGCAACATAACTGAGCTTAATTCTTTCAATGAGGGGTTAAAATCACAGTAAAGAAAGTCCTGATAACTGTTGGTCAGTGTTGTATGACTCCCTCTGGGAATGAGCTGCTGTCTTACTCAGTTTTAAATGTGTTGCAGGTTTGCTGACGGCTCTGGACACGGTTATGGGCCCACTGAGTCTAACTTCAACTCTGAACACTATGGTCCGATATACACGACAGGGAGTCTACTGGCTGAGGCTGGACAGCCAAAAGGTAAAGTGACCAACAGCCTGCTCCCCCTGCTGGACACCTGCAAACCCCCCCCCCCCCTTCGTCTTCACTTCACCGTAATACCCACCTGAACTGTCCCTCAGGCGTTTCTTTCCTTTCCTTCACACGGACATCTCTTTACAAAGACATGGTTGTCATCTCATGTTTGTTTTTAAGGCTGGTTTTTGAATATTTTTCCAGCAAGGAATTTACAACACTGAACCATTGCACTCGTAATTTATTCTTTCACTTTTGGAGTCTCTTTATTTCTCTCTGATGGGATCTACACATTTCATGTCTCGGAAGGTTCAATGTTCCTCCTTGTCCCTCTGTCAGCTGATGTCAAAGAAATGTCAGAGCTTTATTCAAGAGTGACCTTAACTAGATTTGGATTGAAATCATCAGATAATCCAAAAGGTGCCATTTGGTGGTGGTGGTGGAAGCACCGTAACTGATCTGAATTATTTCTATCATCATATTTTACAACCTGAGTTATACGAAAAACTAAAGGCACTTATATCATGTTAATTTTTTGATTCATGACTTCACAGTTTTGGCAACAATTTTTTTTTATTTCTCTTAAAAAGAGATTTAATTTCATTCTGAAAGATTGTTTGATTTTGGTCACAGGGAGTCTATAGTTTTTATAGTCAACATTTCTTTCTCCCACAAATCTGGATCCTTGTGAATAAGACTCATGAGAAACCAGTGTGCATGTCACTTTTCTATAAGTCAAATATGGCTGAAAAAAGGTTCATGAAATTTGTTGCAAAAGCACCAAAGTATAACTTTAAATCAGCATTTAGTTTGTTCATTTCAGCTCGTTCCCTGTTGGCGTCAATTGTCAAATTGTTTCTTGTGCAATAATAATAAGTGCATTAATAACAATAAAGAAAAAAAAGTGCCATACTGTTGATGAGACATGTTTCCTAAAACAAAATACATACTCTACATGTAGGTTGGATTATGTGCAGATAAATGAGACAAAGATCAATCTGGACACAGTCGAATCAAATCAAACAGCCTTTTTCTTAATTTAGATCATTTAAATAACCATTGTTGTTTAAGGTCTTACCTTTTTGCTCCTGAAAGAAATTTGTAAACCTCTTGACTCTTGTGCGTGTCGGAGCGGCTCTGAGACGTGACAGACTTGTGACCCGTGTTGCAGATGCTGTTTCTGTCCGTAGCACTGTCTGTGGTAATGACTGAGAGTGACTCATTTGTCTGTCCAAAGTTGACTTGATTTTATTCTCATCATCCTGTTAAAGAATTTGCACTTGTGCCCTTTTTTTCAAAAGTCACCATCTTAAAGGACATCTTTTTGTGTTTCGTCATAAAACGGTTTTCACATCTTTCCTTCTGTCCACACTGACTGTGAAGAGATCCCATTCTAAAGGGGAAGATAAACTCAAGTTTAAACCTAAGCTCCAACAAACCAAGGAGGGCATTTTATAAAGTTACCTGCAGGAAGGATTCTCTCCTCAGTCAGTATCAACAGAGGGAACGATTACAGCAACCAGTAACTCAATCGCTTCAGTTTACATCCGGGGATGTTGGCATTGTTTAATTATAGAAAAACTTTGAACCTGGCCTTTAACCACAGATGTGTCTTACAGCAACTCAAATTTCCAAAAACAGGGAAGCATTTGACATCCCTGACTTTCTGTACATACAGAGGTGGATTTAATGGTTTTCATTGGCTGTGTTTATCACTGAGTAACTTTATAGAGAACAGAAGGACGACCAGAATCATTCAACTGATAAGAAACTACATTTGTGTTTCCTTTTTTTGTTTTTGCACTAGTAGCCTGCTTCCCTACATGTTTCCTACACTTAAGTTGAGGATAATAAATGGCCAGCTGTAACTTATATAAAAAAAAAAAACACTCTTGTGAATATTTGTAGTTAATTTCATGTGTACAAAAAAAAACACCACGTTCCCGAGACGGGCAGGACTGTGTTAGTCTTTACTTTCTGTTGTATCTTGATTCTAAGCAATAAAGTATGAGTTTCTTTAGCTCAAAGTTTGAATCAGTGGATGTCCTACTGTAGTTATCATCGGGTCTTAATGATTCACCGGGGGGTTTAAAAAGAATCTGTATTAAATTAATTATTCGAGAAAGGAAACATTGGTTTAGCTTAGCGCATTAAAATATCGCATTTCTTGAAATTAGCTTCCTTAGGTTAGGAGATTTAGTTGCTTGTTGACTCAGTTCATGTAATTACACGCTAGAAAGGGCTGAACAAGGACCACAAAGTGTTCCTTAATTTATTTTTCTCATATTTTTCTCATATTAACGATAATGATATTTTTACCATATGCCACGGAACAAGGGATTATTTTTACATACGTATGATGACACATTGTATCGACCTTCACACTGCACACAAAGTGAAAACCTAAAATCTGGCATTCGACATTCAAGACTAGTACAATCTGTTTTGTGGGGTTTTTTTTATGTTTATGTTTTTATGTTTCTTGTCTTTCCAACCTGTGGCTTTATGTTCATCATCATCGGGTGTCGGTGCTTCATTACTGAATTTCTCTGAAAACAAGTTTACACTTCTTGTCCAAATAATCATTTGCTGTAAAAAATGATCATAGGTTTTTGAAGGATGCTTTTTTTCCTTTTTGTGAAATATGTAAAGAATTTGTGTTGCAGTGTACACAGATGAATAAACACTGGAAATGAATTCATTGTTTAATTTTATTTTACTCAAAGGAAACAAGAATGGCACAATTTCATTTTTGGTGGTGAAAGACATCAAATAACTAAGAGATTTACGTGTACGAACACAAAAAACAGAAGGTTTCTAGTTTAATTAAGATACCTATATATACAATACCATTTCATCTTTTGAAACTACATTATTACTGATTTGTTTAAAAAATGTATTTCACTGTACAAAACTTGGATGACGGTTTATGTGTCGGACTCTCCTGCAAAGTTGGGGTTGTTGAAAGCGGGCTGAAAAACAAGAACAACAAATGTAAGCATATCGTTCTCAACACAGAACCAATCTTTCTTGGCTGATCAATAACTTACCACATCAATGTTGGTGGCTTTTGTTGTTGGCAGGCTCATGCCGCTTAGTTTGTAACCGCGCACGCTGAAGAGATAGAACAGCCCTCCAACTATCAAGATGAAAATCACCACGGCTGCGATGATGGCAACAGCTATCACGCCTCCATCTGTGAAATCAGAAACAGCAGATGTGTCAGCGGGGCCGTTTAACTCAGTCAATTGATGTTTGATGTTTATTTTAGTCTGGATCAAAGTGGAGAAGCAATCAACGGCGCAACATCAGCATGGTTAAAACTAGAGTAATAAAAGCAGGCCAATAGAAAATGCACATATGATAAGAAAGTTGTTTCAGCACTATTTCACACTTACTGTTGACACCTGGACCGTCTGTGGGGAAGATAGGATTCCCACCATCATCTGTTGTATAGTCTGAAAGAGTGTTACAGGAACTGTTAGTTTGTCATCAAATCCCTGTTCGAATGTTTTTCTGTGTCATTTCCTCACTGCCTTTTATATTTTTCATGGGAATCTATAGATGCACATTTTTCTTTTCATCCTTACACTGGCGGTGGCGACACGCAAATCCTCTCTTCTGCAGGCAGTTGTTGTCGTTCCAGCGCCCGTCGCCATACATCTCCACACAGTTCTCCTCGGCCACTTCCCCGGGGTGAAAGGCCGCGTTGGGTTCACCGGGCGCCCAGTTCAGGAAGCCCAGAGACATCTTATCTGTCCAGCCCCAGCCAACTGAAAAACCCAACACACCAGGGTCAAGCATGTATGTGTCATTTATAATCCAGTCCTCGTCCATGCAGGAAAGACGTGGAAGTATCCTCGTTCCTCTGTCCACGTCTGCACTCACAGTTGCGGTCCCTGGTGAGTCCGATCCAGATGTGGTGATGTTTGGTGTAGTTGAGGTTCCTGATGAACTCCACCTCCGCTCTGCTGTGGATGGACACCAGCTCTGCCTTGGCTGCCTGGCAGTAGTGTCGGGAGTCCGGCCAGGAGAAGCCCTGCTGCTGGTTGTACACAAAGTAACAGTAGCGGCCATAAGGGGTCCAGAACGGCAGACACTTCCCATCACCGGGGGCGGGAGTTGGTGGCAGGGTCTCTGATGAAGAAACGTTTATCAAACAGTTTGTAAAGCTTTGGATCACTGTTACAGAACCAGCTGGGATGGAGAGGGAGGGAAAAAGGTGTGAGTTGCACCTGAGGAGATCTTGCAGATGTAGTGTTTCTTCTGGTCACACTTGGTGTCGTTCCAGGTCCCGTGGAACAGGCGTGATGCGTGCATACTCACGCAGCCCTCGTCCTTAATGTTGCTGGGCTCTCCTGGTCCCCACTGAGTGAAAAACACCGGCCAGCCGTCTGTCCACGAGTACGAGCCGTCGTCCTGCGTCACAAGACAGTGTGAGCTTTATTTTCCCCTTTCATCAGTTTCAGTTGAGTCATTTCACAGTGAAATGTGTTGATGGTATAACTTTGTATATAAATAAGATAAAACCACTTCAAGCAGGAAAAGGTTTCTGGGAAATAAAGATACATTTACTTTTGATACTTTAAGGATCTTTTGCTGAAACTACTTTAACTTGAATAAGAACTTCAGTGCAATACTTAAACTTGTGGTATTTTTTAAATGCTTTTATTTGTGCTTTTACTGATGGTTGTTTGTTTGGACCTGAGATTAGTTGAGTTTCTTAATAAATGAGAATGGAGGATATTTTTTGCATTGGTTGACTATTCATCTTCTTATGTCTTGATAAAAATGTTTTCAGGGGCTATAATTAGTTTGGAATCTGTTGGTACTTCAGTCTGAATATTCTGCATTTCTACCTTGCGCCTGAGTCCGATCCAGGCGTCAGCTTTGCCCTGCAGCACCACTCCTGCGACGAAGGCCTGGTCGTAGCTCATGTCGATGCTCGCCAGGTTCCCTCCCTGTTGCTCGCAGGCTGTCTGAGCCACGTCCCAGGTCTCAGGCTCCTCCACCAGCTTGTAGCAGTTCTGATACCAGGAGACGTACCCATCCGGGCAGGGGCTCTGGGTTGGGGGTGGAGGCGCGATGCTGCTCGCTGGCGTGGAGTGAGATGGAGAGATATCTTTAGTTCAGGCCTGAACAGGGATGATTTAGCTGCATCAGTTCTTTTAAGGGGAAGAATGACGACTGGGGTTGTTTACTGACATTTCTTCCTGTAGCAGACGAAGCTGTGATCCTTGTGACAGGCGTCATCGTTCCACTTGCCCGTCACCAGGGGGCCGTGACTCATTGCCACACAGTGTTCCTGTTCAGAGAGTTCAAAGCTGAATATAAAGTAGGTTGTACTCCTGCTTCCACCATATGTTCCTCCTGTTATTCTCCACTTATCATAGAAATAAACCGTGATATTAAAGTGTCCTCACCGTTCCTCCTGCATTGTTGGGCTCCTTGTCATTCCAGTTGGTGTAGCGCACTGGGCTGACCCCGTCGCTCCAGGCGTACTGGTTCTCTGCCAAGAGATCGGACAGGCCGATCCACGTGGGGAGCTCCAGGTCCCTCAGGTAACTGGACACAAAGTCTGCAGGGGAGGATTTAAATATTAAAACACTGAGCTGGACTCATTCGTTCTTTTAGACTGTAGTTCTCTGCTGTGCTTACCATTCTCATACTGGTCATCAATAATCGCCAGCTCTCCCTCTTGTTCTTTGCACCAGCTCCGAGCGTAGGACCAGTTAGCTTTAAGATCATTTTTCTTCCCTTTGAACATGAAGCACTTGTCCTTGAAGCGCATCCAACCTGCGGAGAGGGAGGGAGGAAAGTAAACGGGCAACATATTGAAAGGATGCTGACAATCCACAGAACAGTTACATCTTGACTTCAGTACATTGTGTACGGGAGATAAACAGACAGAGAGGAGGGGCGTGTCCCACTTATGATCTGCTTATATAAAGAAAAGGCTTCATTTGTCTGTCATTTTATCTTGAAATATCAGTGAGATGATAACATGGATGATGAGCCTGTTTATATTTATTTTTATTCTTTAAATATATATTTCATCAATTCAAATTCTATATATTTGGTTGTCTTTGTGTTTTCTTTGTATTTATAGTTATTTATTATGAAATACAAGATTCAACTGTCAAATATCAAGTGGGGGTTTGACCAGTGGAAGAATGGCTTCCAGAATCATTTTCCAAAATGTTTCTTTATTGATATACATCTGCCAATATATTAGTATCAGAAATCTATTACTCCCTAATATCAATAAAAAAATGTTTAGTAAATATTCTGGAAAGTAATTTGTTGAAGTGAAAATTAGCTTTTTGTTCATCCAGTGAATTATGTCCAATAAAAATAAAAAGTACTTCCCCACGTTGATGAAAAAAATATTCATAAAAAATCCAACATCATCCCAAAGCGTTCCTGATTATTGATTCAATCGATCGATTATTAGGTTTTATCTTCAAATTTGTCTCAAAGCAGCTGGGAACTGAGGTTTTTAGCAAACACTAATCAAACAGGAGTTAATTGTGTGTTTATTGGGGATCTGTTTTCTGCAGAGGACTAATATATGTTTGGTGTTGGAAAAAGTGACGCTCTATGGCTCCGAGGGATAAACTGCATCAGGCTTTCAATCAGACAATACTTGTTAGTGGATTCATTCAGTTTTGGTCTTTTCATGGTATTCACTGACAATCAGAAAGAACTGAATATATCAAGTATGCATATCTGTCCATATAACCTGTGTGTTTTATTTAATATAGAAGTTTGTGTGTTTTATCTTTCTATTGAAGATGTGTGTGTTACCTTCAGGGCAGTTCCCCTCCCAGGGCTGTGTTGGTGGAGGAGGGGTGTGGTTGTCTCCGGGGAACTTCTTGCAGACGTAACCTGCTGCGGCCCGACCACAGTTGGCATCGTTCCATCCACCTCGACAAACCAGAGCTCAGTGTAAATATCCGGGGGGGGGGCACGTTGGGTAAACACGCACAGTTCATTAACAGATGATTTTCATCTGATTTTTGAAATTTCAGTACCTTGATGTCTGTTCATCTGAACACACTGCTCCTCCCCGTTGGCGTTGTTGGGCTCACCTGAGGCCCAGTGAGTATAGGTCACAGGGGAGTGGTCCACCCAGCTGTGAAGATAAAACACACACATCTTAGCATTGACTTTTTGCATCAACAACACAAAAATATACATAGTCTCTGGAGCAGATCTCGCTTTGTGTTATTCATATAATGATAGTTTCAATTAAAAACCCTCTGTAGAGGAAATGAATGCCACACAACATCCTTCCACTACATTTTGTGGTAATACATCAAGTAGTTTTAGAAATATTTGAAATAAAATCTCCTTGATGGAGCTAATAATGTGGAATTTAATTGTTGGACAGATTGAACCACTTGTACATACAGGTACTGTCCGTTTGCGATGCCAACCATCCTCATTCCGATCCAGGCTGAAGAGACTCGCCCTGTCCCCACCTGGAAAAAAACATTCAACATATTCAACATATTCTGCTGTTAATTTGCTCTATAGCAGTTGTAAAGGCGTAAGGAGTACCATGGTGTTGACATAGGCCTGTTCATCTTTGTTGAGGATGGAGACGAGTGATGCTTTCTCAGCGTAGCAGCGCATTATCGCCGTGTGGAAGTCCACCACGTCTGTGTCGTTGTAGTAATAACAGATGTTGTTGTTCTTCCTCCAGCCGAGGTTGGTTCCGCAGTCGGGAGCTGAAGGTTGAGACATGAGAACATGAACAAATACAGTGTAATACTATTATAATCAAATAGATCTGGCTTTAGAATCACAGAAATGTGACTTTACCTGGGAGTGGAGGGGGGGGCACAGGGGGCAGGATGGGGGTCCTTCCCTTAACGATCTTGCATATCCAGTCCTGGTGAGCGTCACAGTTGAGGTCGTTCCACCAGGAGAACGTGCCATTGGTGCTGCTCACCATCTCCACACAGTTCTCCCGGTCCTCGTGGTTGTTCGGTTCCCCGTGACCCCAGTTGGTGTGGGACAGAGGGGAGCCATCACTCCAAGAATGACCTAGAACACCCGAATAATCAGAACGTTTTTTTATTTGTTGTCATTTTTTAGATCCCAATAAGCTTCCACCAGGGTTCACTCTATAAAACCCACATCATACCCACCTCCTTCTGTGGGGTTGTGCTTGAGGCCGATCCACTTGCTGCTGGCTTTGCTGTACAGAGACAGGAACTCCTCCTCCTCCTGGTTGTAGATGCTGACCAGATCAGCTCCTCTGGCAACACAGTCCTCGCGTGCGGCTCCCCAGCTCTTCTTCAGGGACCAGTCCACATTGTGGAAAAGCTAGAAATGATAAGCCAGTAAATCAGTAATTATAAACGAGTCTTTGTGGTTTTCGATGTTTAATTTTCTGCTTTATTTACCTTGTAACAGTTCCTGAAGTGAGGCAGGGCCGTCCAGCTCTCAGCACAGCCCTGCGAGGGAGGAGGAGTTGGGGGTTTGGTGGGTGGGGTGATGTCCGGCCTGGGTCTCTCACAGATGAAGGCGTACTTCTCAGAGCACTGCTTGTCATCCCAGAAACCACCAATCTGACCCGTTGTCATAGCAACACAGGTCCCATCACCACTATCTATAGATGAGAAAAAGGGAGATCAGTGTTTTTTCCGCTGAGTTCATATTGTCCTGTTTGGGTTGGTGTGTACCTGGCTGGTTTCTGTCCCAGTGAGTGAAGGAGAGAGGGTAACCGTTGTCCCAGATGTAGTCCACTCCTCCAGCTGTGCCTCCACGAGCACGCAGGCCGAGCCACCACAAACCCGTCTTTCCCGACAACGCCACGGTAAAATGTGCCTGCTCATAACTGCAAGAGTTCAGGAAATTTGTCAGTGTAAAACAATTGAAGAGATGATAAAGGATATAATTACAGCCCTGTGGTTGTATGCCACCGCCAACCTGTGCTGTTACTGTTGACATTGTTTTTTTCAAGACTCATGAGGTCACCATGACCTTTGACCTCCAGGTTCTAGTCAGGTCATCCTTGATATCAAGTGAATGTTTGTTCCAGATGAAATGAAATTCCCTTTAGGGTGTCTCTGATATATCAGCTCCAAAAGAACATGTCACTGTGAGTTTGAATTTTGACCAACAAAATCAACCTGTCGCTGACCTGAATGATATCTGGCTTAAAATCTTTTCACTTAATTAGATAGAGAGCACTAGAGAATGAATTGCACCCCCCAAAATAAATGAAATGGGGAAAAGCAAAAGTCTTTCAAGACTAAAGTTGCAGAACAAGTGACAGACATTTCTCCATTTGAGTACCTCTGTTCTTTTCAGACTTACATGTCTCCGATGTGCAGCAGGAAGCCGTCCTGCTCTGTGCAGAAGGCCTTAGCGTCAGACCAGCTCCGGGGGGTCTCCTCCATCCAGTAGCAGGAGTAGCCGTAAGCATCCCATCCCTGAAACAAATTAGAGACATGAGCTTTTACAGCCCCTACAACACGCATCACACTACAGCACTCTCTAAATTAGTATTGTGTAAATCAGTGTATGCTTCAAAAACCAATATAAAGCACGTGGTACCTGAGGACATCCGTATTGGGTGGGTTTTACAGAAGGCAGTGGGTAATGTGCTTTGGGCGTCTTGCATATGTAGGTGTTGAGCTCTGAACAGGACACGTCGTTCCATCGTCCAGTCTGGAACAGAGAGAAAAGAATGAATAATGTGGGCATACAGTGTAACTCTCTCTCTCAAGTCTCACCTGGTGTAACATCTCAACACAGTCTTCACTGAAGCCCATGTGGTTGTTGGGTTCTCCTGGAGCCCAGTAGGTGAAGGTGACCATGTGCGCGTCCGACCAGGTGAACATACCCGTCACAAACAGATCATTCAGACCGGTCCACACATCATTGGTAGCTTTGAAGGAAGAAATGGTTTAAAAAATGTATAATAAATAAAGCACTTTTCTCATCTTATCAACTTACTGACATCACATTTCTGTCAGGGGCAAGTTAAGGTTCAATATCTTGCCTAAAGACTTGAGCATATGGACTGGAGGGAAGGGGATCAATGAATATATGTCACTAGAAATAACATATACAAATATCAACTTTGTTAACTGCTTCATATACAGCAGGTACAATAACTTCCCTCATGAGTTTCAATAACCGGCACGTTGTTAGAGCCTCATGGGAGCTGTCGATGTTGAATGTCACCAAAAGTAATTAGTTGTATCTTTTCTAAAATGATTTACTCAAATATAATCAATTCATACACGTCATCAGAAATCAAATCATCAAAATATATAACTCTCGCCTTTAACCTGTAACTTCTTATCATTTTCGGTCTTGAAAACTTCATTTCTAACTCCTTCAGTCTCACGTTCTATAACATCATCTTCACATTAAACCAGCTTTCTTCTGTTTGTTTGTTCCAGAGCCGTACCCATGTACAGGTAACTCTCCAGCCAGGTCTGCTCAGTCATGGAGAGGATGGAGACGAGTTCAGCTCCCAGACTCCTGCAGGTCTCTCGGGCATTGTGCCACGTCTTTCTGTCTTCGAAAGGTTTGTAGCAGAAGCTTCCGAACTCATACCAGTCAGGCCCTGAGCACCTCAGCTCTGAAGAGGAAAGAAGAAAAGGAAAAATAGCACACAAAACCTTAAAGTTTTATTTTTATATATATTTAAATAGCGTCTCTTTAGAGGATATACAACAACTCAAAGGATTATAAATCCATGGAAACTCACCCCCATCTGCAAAAGTGTATGATACATCATAGTTTCCATCGAATCTGGAGAAAGTAGTTTATTAATGAATTGGCCTCAATGGTCTGTCGCAGCGAATTAAGGATTAATATTAGGTTTGAGCCACGTACTGTCGGGAGGTGATGCCGTTCCTGGTGGAGCCGGGGTAGAGGTCCTGTCCCGCAGCTTTTAACAAAGTGCAGTCTCCACCAATGTCGTTGAGTACCACTCCAGCGTGGATCGCTGCTGCACAGATGTTTGAGTCCTGTTGCAGAGAATCATGTGTTGGATTAAAACAAATGAGGACTGTGCAGTACAGTTTAGAAAAAGTCACCTACCCCACGATACACAGAAGTGCCGTAGACTCTGTAATTTGCATTGGCACAGCCTGCTGGACAGTGGACTCTGACAGAGACATGAGATTTTAATATCAATAGAAATATCACATAAATAACATTATAACACAAACAGATTAGAATCAGCACATGTGTATAAATATTATTTCAGGTTTCACTTACGTCATTCGGTCATTGGCAAGGTTGAAGTTGGGCTTGTTGGCACATGTAATCGCATCTGTTGGACCACAAGTTCTTTCAGTGTTTATATGTGAAAGCACAGGACAGCATCACAAATCATTTTCACTATTCTGCTTGGAACAATAATAAAAAATGTTCTCACAGTCAGGGGTGCATCCCAGGACGTCAAACCGAAGCCCCGCCTGCCCGTTAAACTCCAGCGGGAGAATGCGGACGTACTGAGCTGACACGGGTGAACCCAGTAGCTGAGTGTCTGGAGTGTTTCTGTCTGTTGAACCTGGGAGAAACTAGAAACCGAGGAAATCCAGAATCACGACCTGTTTTCCTCTTTCACAGTTTGGCTGTTAAAGCGACACTATGTAACTTTTACTGAGCAACAGCGCCCTCTGCAGCCACACATGGTGAATCATTCTGCTGGGCTCTGTGTCAGAGCGATCAAGTGGTTTTCAATCCTTTCAACGTGTTGATGAAAGTGACACCATTCTCTCTGTATAGTGTTTCTTTCCTCAGCCCCTGGCAATACACAAGACAGCGAAATCTCTGTTTACTCACTTCCCCGTCAGCTGTGTAGTCAGTCCAGGTGGTTCCATCCATGCTGTGCTGGATCTTGAACTTAGTGAGCCAGTGGTCATTGTGAGGACAACCCTGGATCACTATCCCTGTCACTTTTCTGGTCTGGCCCAGGTTTACCTGGATCCAGCTGGAAGTTGCTGGAGACATTAGAAATAGTGTTAGATTAACGTGACAATACCAGTGTATCACATTTTCAGAATAAAACTGAACTTCAACTTGAATAAAGAAGGTATTTGGTGACAAAAAGCACAACTCTGTCTCCACCTTTAAATGAAGGATTTGAACATTACTCTATATGTGTTGGTACGTACGGTTTCCTGAAGGCATCCAGCAGGAGTTTCCATTCAAACGGGCTTTGTTGGGAGTGAAAGCCCCAGTGAAGGACGAAGCAGAGAGCTGAGAGTCTGTGATGTTTCCATCCTCGACACCCAGGCCGTGCAGACACACTGAGAGCAGCCAAATCACAAAACATTAGACGGTTTGACTGATGTAGGAGATCTCTACAGGAGAAGAACATGAAGAGGAGTCTACCTTTTTGTTCACAGCTGTAGACGATCTCCAGATATTTGGAAACGGCAGGACAGGGGTCCACCTCCGGGTGGGCATACACGAAGCAGAAGGGTCGATTGTCACATGACTTCCTTACAATAGGAAGAACACCTTCCATTGTGCAGCTTCCTGCACAGACAAATTTTATTTAAGCCAACAATATTAACAGAGGTGATTTATAATGATTTACATCAGTCAAAAGGCAATGACACACACTGACAGCTAGTATTTTAATTATCTATTTAAACCTCTTTTGTGATTTTAGCAGCTGATGATTAATAGTTCTGTTGTTCAACTGCTCAGCCTTATTCTTCAGAAACTTCACAACCGTAACCCACAACAGATTATATTCAAAGTCCTTCTATTGTCCATTCAAAGTCAAAATCCCACCAGGCATAAATAAAGTTATTATTATCATATTAACCACTAACCCACTTTTTGAGAACTGCTTTTAATGTTTGATTATGACATGGATCTTATATTTCAATGTGTGATTGTGATTTATTTAATATTTATACTTGTAACTGTTTTCTGTTCTTTAATCCTGCCTTTGATCAATGTTAAAAGTTAACAGCACCTGTTGATCCAGCCAGATGTGGACAGATGTCATCACTCTTTCGTCCGTAGAACGCAGACTGGACGTTGAGGACACTTTCATGTGGACAGTGGAGGACAGCGGAGGAGTCCTGGCACACCAGCGCTGTCATGAAGCCTGCAGCAGCGAGAAGTTACACATCAAGTGTTAACTTGACAGTGAAGTTAATCAGAGTTACATGTGTAGATATATAATTGTACCTGAACGAAACACATATAATAATAATATATTCTATGATAATAATGATAATAGTGAGGTATGATTACCATCGTGAGGTGGAGGAGGCTCGGGCAGGTTTCCTGACAGTGGAAACATCAGTTTGGTTTTAACAACATTTATCAATACTCTGTTGATATTGTTATATCCTTAGTTTTCAATTTGCACCAGTAGCAACATTTCAAGCCACATATCTCACCTCTCCGCTTGCAGATGTATCCTCTGTTGTACTCACAGTTGTCATCATTCCAGTAGCCATTGTTGATAAGTATAGCAAGGCAGTCTTCCCCATAGTAGTCGTCTGGGTTACCTGCGAAGAAAGACAAGGAGGAGGAAGAGAATCTGGTGTTAGCCTTCCTCACACTCCTCTCTCCAACTCTTTTCAATCCCCCTTTCTCGTTTAAAAACCGAAGGGGGACAAGATTTCACTGTTGCTGCCTCCAAGATATGAAACAGTCCTAATATTAAACATTCTATATTTTATTCAAAATTCTATCTTTGTAGTCTTGCTTTTAATTCAGCCTCATTCTGTCGTGTGCTTTCGTTAATGTCTCTTTTTCATATCTCTCTCTTTCTTTAACAATGTGTGAGAAGGCGTTTTTCAACATTTTCCTTGATTTCTCAGATGGATCCTGATGAAAATCTTTATGGGGGTTGATATTTATGAGTGTGTGCAATTTGGTGCAGATCCAAATAAATATCTGGATTGAGTTAAGTTAAACTGGGTTTAATAAGCGGCCTGTGGTGGAGGTATGTGCTCTACTGACATTCTAGTCTCTGAATGAATTACCACTGATTCTATGTGAGATATATTTGGGTTTTATATGAACCTGCATTCCAGCGAATGTATCTGAAAGGAGAGCCATCTGTCCACTCCCAGCCACCCTCAGTGATGGAGTCATGGCCGCCCATCCACAGTGAGATCCCTGTGGGACTTGTCTGGATCACCCCTGGGAGGAAACAACACAAATACTAATTAAATGCAATCACTCTATCACTCTATCACTCTGTCAATCAATCAATCAATCAATCAAATCTATCTATCTATCTCAAAATCTAAAACAGGTTAAATTCAGAAAAATAATAATTTAAAGAGTGAAGTGAGGATGCATAGGTCCTACCTTGTATGAATGCTTGTTCATAGGGATCAGTGATACTGATGAGGTCTCCTCCCTGGTTGACGCAGTCGGCTCGAGCCTCGGCCCACTTCCTCATTGACAGGTAGTTAAACAAGTAGCAGTAGTCGTTAAAAGGGTCCGACATCCAGGACCCACATTTGTTATTCCATCCTGCAACAAATAAAACAGACAGCTTTCAACATCCACATTAAAACGCACACTTGATCTTTCTCTGATGAAGGCTGGTTTGTAATGATCAGTGTAGTATAAAGGTAACCTGGTCCAGATGTTGGGGGCTGGGGGGGAGGTCCTTGTCCCTTGGCTATGAAGAGACAAGACAAATATTAACTCCAAACTATGATATGAATGCAACGATAAAGCATTATGGGAGACAAATGAGAGTATCAGACCTTTTTTGCAGATATATTCCCTGGTGGCAGAGCAGAAACCATCACTCAGTTTCCCAGGATCAACGCGAGTCATGCCTCTGAGGTGCACACAGTCCTCATTATCCTCCCAGTTATCAGGCTGGTTGTGTCCCCAAAGAAGGAAGTCCTGAGATCCAGAGGAAAAAAACAAAACTGCTGCTTTATCACAAACATCAGTCTTTACAAGGCAGATTTGCACAAACTGGAGAAAAGAACAGAATCTTCCCAGGAATCCAAAGATTTTCAAATATTTTTGACTATGGTGTCTAGACATTTTGCATTGTGTTACAAAACAGCAAATATTACTTCTGTCTTCATCACTTACTGTAGGAGTTCCATCAGTGTACACAAACTGGTTTTCAACATTGATGTCATTCAAACCCACCCAGGCCTCTCCTGGCATGTGAGCTGCAAAAGAAGAAAAGAACAAGAACAGCAAGTTAACATAAAGGAAAAATATTTAGCTTCCTCAGGTTTTCTCTCCTCTGTGTGGTTTTTGTTTCAGTGATAGTTATATATATATCACAGTCTCCACGCTATATCTACATTTATATGATTCCTCAACAAATCCTTCCAGAATGGATGAATGGACCCTTCTCTCTTTGTCGCTCACCCGTCAGGAAGCTCAGTTCTTCCTGTGAGTGGAAGCTGGTCAGGTGACCCTGCTCTCTGTTACAATGGGCCTCAGCATCCTGCCAGTTCTTCACCCTCTCAGTCTCAAAGTGATAGCAGAAGTCCCCGTACAGCAAGTATCCAGGATCACAGTGGGAATCTGAAGAAAACAAATTAAAAGCTAATCATTTGACTATAGAGAATATGTAAAAATAGTTTGTTAGTCCAACTGACCAGGAGTTGACGTTGGTTTCGGATTCTGCCCGCCCGTCATCTCACAGATGTAACCCAGGCTCTTGAAGCAGTTGGTTGTTTCCCATTTGCCGTCATAGTTTCCTGGAAGAGAACTTGAACTCAGCTGATGTTGATGTCAGAAGTCATAGTCAGTTTCGAGCTGGAATAGCAGAGTGCGTGTCCTACCTGTGAAGATCTGTCCACAGTCCCAGACACCTGCAGTGTTTCTGGGCCAGCCAGGACCGTAGTTCGAAAAAGTAACTGCGGATTTATCCACCCATTTGAAATCTCCATCCTGGTCCTTATCTGGTGACATCACAAACCAAAGTGGGAGAAGACATTGAAGGGGCAAGTTCACAAATTATATTTACTGTAAAGATAACAATGCATCTTTTCTATTATTTCAAGGTGAGCATTAAATCAATAAGTGTGAAGAGAACCTGATAAACCAATCCAGATGTCAGGGATGTCCACATGGTGAAAGTCAGGAAGTTTCCCGTTTATGTAGAACTGTTCTTCTTGACTGCACACGAGGAACAGGACAAACATGAACCCTCAAAATTCTGAGATTACAATCATGAAGACTGTGTCTTAAAGTAACACAGTTCATGCTAAGGAGGCTGTAACCATAACTACTTTGCATGTCTGCGAGACGTTTATAAAACAGGCACTTGCTTTTTTAAATGTCTAAAGGCTATAAATATATCGTATCTCAAAAATAATATGATGACGCTTTAACTTATGTGGAAAAACGAATCCCTGCTTTTTGTTACTCCCACCGAACATTTGAAGGCTTCAGCTGCAAAAAAAGGTTTCCATTGTCTTCTTCCCTACCTGTCTATAATCAGCAGGTGAGCCCCCATATCCGAGCACTTGGTGAGGGCGTCGTGCCAGGTGGTCAAGAGGTTGATGTTACTGACCAGCCAATAGCAACTGCCGGCGAAGCTCAACCAGCCAGTGGGGCAGATGGCTGGAGGAGGAACAACAGGAAATGATTATTTTACTTTTATCATATAACTGGAACTAGACTTGTCTTATTTGTGTAGTTCTAAAACAAACCGGCTTACTGTTCAGTGGTCGTTTACACATGTACGGACGCTCGTATCTGCACACATGTGACCGCCACTTCCCAAATTCATCCGACGTGTCTTTGATGATTGCAGCACATGAACCCGTCTGCGTGTCACTGTCAGAGAACACACCTGTTTAAAGCATGACTGCAAGAATGAATGGATGAACTGAAATGACAGGTGTATGTTATATATCTTACACTGTAGGTTCACCGTCGGCCCAGTTTGTGTAAGACTCCCCGGCAGTGTCAGTCCAGGTGAACTGGCTGTTCCCCACTTCAACTTGACAGGAAATCTTGTTGCATTTCTGAAGGAACAAAGCTAATCTTCACACTGATGCATTTTAAATTTCAATGCAACGATAAAGAAGAAACTAAAGGGAGATTCTTCTCTGGTTTCCTCTCACCAGTGTGGAAAACCCAATCCAGAGGTCGAACCGTGACGGGTCCAGAGTTCCTGTGACGTACTGCTCCTCTGCTGCGGAGGTAATGGACAGCAGGTCCCCTCCGTCCTGCACGCAGTCATGTCTGGCTGCTAACCAGCTCTTCCTCATGTCGGCCTTTAGCTTGTAGCAGTTGGAACCGTATGGCCTCCACCCGTTGGCCAGGTCACACTGTGGCCCAGGATTGGCTGAGGAAGGAGAACCATAATTCTGTTATCTTTGTATAGCGTTTACATTTTTCTTTATATCTATATATACATATGTATATTTCTTATTTTCTTATTTTTCCCTATCTTAATGGCCTTCTGCTGCTGTAATGTCAAAATGTCCCCAGTGTGGGATGAATAAAGTCTATCTTATCTTATCCTATAATATAATGGGATTAATCCTGCCAGTGAGGAAGATCTGAGCCTATCAGCATTTCCTTTGGCAGATTCAGTCAAAATCTAATTCAGCATTTTAAAAATGTTTAAATGATTGAACATTTCAGGGTGAAGTTAAGAAATCAATATGTCTGGTTCCAAACAGGGTGTGTTTCAATGTTTTACTGGCTTATCTTTTTAAGCAATCATTGAAAAAGGCAGGTCAAAATAAAAAAGAATTCTTGCCACAGGCTCAAATTAGGGTGGAAAAGTAAAAGGTTGTATAGTAAAGTAAAAGTGTTTGGTTTTATGTCAGCCAAAAATAAATCTGAAAGAGATTCAAGTTTGTTAATGTGTAGAAAGATATTTATTTAAATAATATTAATAAATCAATACATGTGTAAAAAAAGTGTTGGATTATATGAAAATGTAATTTGTGAACAGATGTGAGAGTAAACAAAGACCCAGTAAAAACACAGTGGGAGGAAACAACAGCCCATACAATACATAACGTACGCCTGTTTTTTAAGCTATTTTAATGAAGAATTAACTATATTCATTATTATTCATTCAAGAATAATTAAAATGTACTTTTACATAGTTTCTGCTTCACAAAACAAACATAAAAGTCTATATCACTATGGAAACTAGTGGGCAGACTTACGGTTGATGTGCTTGCAGATGTATTTCCTCGCAACACCGCAGTCTTCATCATTCCATTGTCCAAAGCTGGATCCATCCACATGACCACAGTCCTCATCGTTCCAGTTGTCAGGCTGGCCTTGCCTCCAGTATCTGAAACAGCAGAGAGGAAACCAAAGTGAAAATTCCTCTGGGAGTTTAGTGTGATATCAGAGTGATAAGAGTGTTACTCACGATAGATACTGAATGAAAGGACTCCCATCACTCCACTCCCAGACGCCCTCTGACACTCGGTCATTCAGGCCAATCCAGTAGATCTCTGTGCTGATTTGTGTTCTCACCCACAGCTAGAAAAAACACAAAGGACCATACATTAACCCAGGGTGTGAAATAATAACATGTGGTATGTGTGTGTGTGTGTGTGTGTCTCACCCTCTCATGAATGTCCTGAATGCTCATCAAGTTGCTGTTCTGCTCCAAACAAAACGCATTAGCGTCCAACCAGGACTTTGTGTCGTTCGAGAAGAAGTAACATTTGTCCTCATACTCCCTCCAGCCTTGCTGACACTGACCACGGGCTGAAGAAAAATTCAAGGTATAAAAAATCACAGCGACACAGCAAAGTAATTATGTAAAGCAGCAGATGTTAAAATATATACAAGTAAAGTTGGATATTAGATGACAAATGTAATTTATGATAAGATTGAAGAAGAAACAATTTATGTTTTGTGGATGTCAACAGCAGTTTTCTGAGTAGATCATTTTCCCAAACAAACCAAACATATTGTTTGTTGTCATGTCTTAACTTTATATTTCTGTCCATGTGTTTGTAAGATATTCAATGTTGAATCAAATAGATTTAATAGAAATTGTGAAGTTAATCCAGGGAGGAACAATAAAGGCCCGGTGGCAGTTTTCTCAAGAACAAAAAAACATTCAAAAATACGACTCTCCTCACTGGCACATTTGTGCTTTGAAAGTCCAACCACTATAGTAAATAGACTTCAGTTAAAGACAAACCTAAAATCTGTTGTTTGAGAAGAACACATCGTTCAGCCAGGAAGAATAGCAGGAGGAAAGTAATCTGATTACTTTCAGTGGCTGTGGATGTGTTATTTTTCAAGCTGGTGAATGATTTGAACGCACATCAGTCATAAATGTCCCATGACAGATCCACAGTCCAGCAATGTCATTCAAATCTCAGCACCTCACACAAATATCTGGGTAATGTTTGACTTTAACGACTTCACAGACACTATAGAGTCACATGTATAGCATAAGAGAAGCTGCTCCGCTCGCCATCGTCTCCACCTGCGACGATGCCGCTCCAGACTAAGATGTCTGATACATAATAAAGTTACATTATTTTCTTTAAATATATTTTACAATCTATTACTGTGTAATCATACAGTAAATCACTATTTCTTTTTTTACGACATTTGACGATTACGAGAAAAAGTACAACACACCAGTGCTTTGAGATATTTACTTCAAGTTTAAAGATGCGATGTGATTTATTGAAATTTACAAAATCTGGAGAGAGCTTTGGTAATAAACTGATAAAAATAAAATCAACTGTATGGTTCATGTAAAATATTTAAGCCTTAATACACTGATCTCATCACTGCTAAATTAAATATACAATTTTCTTTTTTTTTCAAATTTCACTGTTGGAAATGACAAGTATTTTTTTTATTTGTTTTATTTCTATCCAATTCCTAATTATTACCTTTATGTCAAAATTAACTTTTCCTGTGATTAAACACAATCCCCTGTACATCACAGGTCTGTACACGGTCCTTTACTTTATTCAGCACAAAACACAAGTTATTCAGTTCAAGTCTATGCCACATAAAACCACATGATGGATTAAATCTGAATTTTAAGTGGTTATATTTGGTTGATTGAACCGGTTGTGAATCCCAACACTATGACTCTGGTTGATGTTATTACACAGGACCGGCAGAAACTTTAAACTAAAGAGACTCACCACAAACAAGAAGAGCAGCGAGGCTGAGCAGCTGCAGAAGTCGTCTTTGTCCTCTGTCCATTTGCACTGGTTCTAGATTCACCTCTCAAGGTGTGTTTCTACACATTCTAATAGATTTAATGTGTTTGTTTCTCCAAACTGCCCCTGAGCCTGGCAGTGTGTGTGTGTGTGTGTGTGTGTGT